ATTAACATGATTACATGAATATGAAAACGTGTACAGATCAAGAATGGTAAACCAACAGAAAACCAACAGAAGCAAGCCATGGATTAAATATACATATATACAAGGCGTATTTTTTTTTAGTTTCCATTGCGGCACTTATTTTAGTAAAATAAGGTATTCCACTATAAAATGGTTCAAACACTTAAAAACATTTCAACAAAAATCGGTTCACGATATTGGTCATAACATGCGTAAAATAATCCGTAATCGGTAATTTGAAAATGTATGATAGAAACAATATAAATTTGGTAAAATCGTTCACAACCGGTTAATGTAAAGATTTATGATAATAAATAATAGTTTAAAAAAACTGAAAAAATGCTTTTATACCAAAACCGAGAAAATAATTTTTAATTACAAAGAGTTTATATTATAGTGGTAGATGGTCGAAAAATCAATCATAATTAATGACCTCAAAATAAAATTATAATAAAATTTAAGTTATCAATAGAACTGCAGGATTAATGGCAACATTCGCAATGAACAAGGTGAGAATGCACTACCTTGAAAAAGTATCTGCCTCCGTTGTTCTGTGCCGAGTGCTCGAACCAACAAAGAGTAAGTCTGAAACTGCACGAATGCGCAGATCGCGCGCTAGCTCTATCTCTCTTAATCCCCTACAAAGGATCAATAAAAGAATTTATCAATCCTTTCGCTCCTAATAAGGATAATGAAAAACTATCAAATTATTGCATTGTTATAGGTCCTTGATACGTTTGCGAAGTTTCAAATTAATCAAACTTCTGGAAATTGGTGAAAATTATGCTCAAAGATTCCTTTACATACATACATACATACAGGCCAAGCTAATAAAAGCGTGATAAAAACTGGCATCTTCTTGTCTTCATGTGATACATGACCGGGCTTTGCTCCTCAGAGTTTTCCTTCATGATGTCGCCGCGCGATGTGCCTGCCAGTCAGACCCGCCTGACTTCGGTATCCCATCCTCTCCGTGTCGAGCTTCGTACATCTAGAACTGGCCGATACGACCGCTTCGCGCTTTGTCTATAGGCTATCGAGATTGTAGAAAAATCTACATAATGAGGCTTTCCCCAGTTCTACTAACCTTATGCAGTTCAAAAATCGGATTAACAAAATTTCTTTGAGCTCCTCATAGCAGCAGCGGTACCCTAGCGTTTAGGCTTCTGCCCCCGCGGCTGCTTCGGTGTAAAAGAAATACAGGTAATATTATTAAAACTCGATATCGATGAAAAGAGAGAAGAGGAAAGTGGATGAAAAAGAAAGTAAGAATACAGACATCACAGAAACAGTTTCGATAAATTTATGGGACCTATACAAGATATAGGTAAGTTCTAGATAATGAATCACAATTATTTTCAAAGTGCATTCCATCTCCTCCACTGCGACTCACTGGTCTATTGTGCCTCACACCTATCTATATTTCCCTCAGCAGCAGATACCTCCTAAGGCCGGCATTACACTATAAAAGTTCTTTGGCAAAGATCTTTTATAAATTACTCTTACAAAAGTTATACATAAAAGAAATGTTATGGTTGCCAAACAGCCTATTACACTACGTAAAAGATTTTATAAACTATTCTAAGAAGGTAGTGCAAATACAGCTATGGACGACGACGTTCAGGTTGTCGCCATAGCTAGTTTTACTTCGGTTGCCATTGTAGTGGCTTTAACAAGGAAGAAGAAGCGACTGTGGGTAAAACCGTGGATCGCTCGCCGTGAGTTGAAGAGGATCTACAATAACTTGGTCCCAGAACTGACGCTGGAAGATCAGAGAATTTATGTTAACTTTATGGGAATGGATGAGGACGACACTTTTACGAAACCCCATCAGCACTGAGGAGCTGCTCATGGTGACATTGCGATTTCTAGTCCCCGGAGAGAGTTACACTAGCCTCCAGTACGTCACACATCATATGTTTGAAAATTTGATATGTGCTTCCAATCCTGGAAAAACAATTAAGCCACTAGTTGAGTTTTAAATAGAAAAGATTTCCAGACTACAGCAATAGGCATTTCATGATTTGTTTTTGTCATTGCCAGCAGTTCTCGGAAAATGACCGTAGATATTAACTCCGAAATCAATTAACCTCACTATATTACCATCCAAGCATCACTGATACCAAAGATGAAATAGTTACGTCCCACCCCTTACAACCCCCAGATCCCAATTTTCAACCCCTTCAAAGATTTCGAAAGAAAACATCAAAATAAAAAGTTTGTGGGATTTATTTTTTTTTTAAGATTCTCAAAAACTAGAAAGCTTTATCATTAATGGCGTCGTAGTAACCTTATGTCAAAATTTCATCAAAATCCGGCAAGTATTTTCCAAGTTATAGAGGGACCAAGGAAATTATTCGAGATTAGAATATCAGCTAGCCAGAAGCATGGGAAGTTAAAACTAAACGCCATCTTATTCGAATGCCCAGTTGGGATCCTGGACTAAGAGAAACAGTACTCGTTAAGTGGAAGGTGTGAATAAGATATTCAAATTATGCCGTTCCAACCATCGTTTTCGATATGAAGCAGTAGTAGTGAAATAACTGTTGTTTTATTTGTTTTGCTCCAGGGAACTGAACATACTTCATCATATAATGGAGTGTATATGAATGAATAATTGCCCAGTGAAGACTGTGTCATGATGTTAGGGTTAGAACGCCATCTATTAATAACATTTTTCGTATAAATTATGTATTAGTAAAGGCGTTCCCTTCTTTAGATTGTAGGATTAAGAAACACATAATTTATATAGTGTGGCAGGCGAGGCATATAATAAGTGGAAATGTACTTAATCTTGTATCTACGGAAGTGACTGTTATATTATTATTTTTGTAAAACGTTATGTTCCTTAATTTAAAATTTAGGCATTCCAATATCATGAATTGAAATTTACATGGGACTCTCTTTACTTACTCTTTATTGACACTTATTGGAGCTAAAGATAGGGATAGAAGACGAACTACGCAGACGAAAGCAGAGACGAGACAAAAACGGTCAATCATGAAGGAGAGCAGAACAGACCAAAAACATAATCAAGTGACAGAAGTCGACAATGGAACCGATGCAGCGGTGAAATCTGGCAACGATCAAGAAAATTAAAGAAAAAAGAAGGTCGAAGGAATGGACATTGAGGATACAGGATATGCTCGGCAAAAATGAAAGAAAAGTACAACCGAGTGACAGAGATAACGGGTCAGGAGAGTAGCATGGTAGATAAAACTGAGAATGCTAGATGCATGGATGAAATAATCGTAAAATCCATTATGTGTAATTACGTAGAGGTGTAGATAAAGAAAAAAGAAAAGGTACGAAAGGCAGCTGAAAGAATGAGCAACACGAAAAGAGTAATGGATAGCAGATTACATGAAAAATAAAATGAGGGCTAGTGTACGTCAACCAAAAAAGAGGAACGAAGCAAGATTAACAACGAATGAGACATCTGAGGAAAAAGCAGCAGGAGTGACAGATAGAAACGTTATTGAAAAGACGTATACAATTATTCCAGATATCAGAAAGAATTGTTTAGATGATAGTAACGAAGAGTGAGTTACACCAGATAACAGGGATAGGTTTGACACAGGAGTGGAAAGTAGTGCAAAGCGTAAAAATCTGGCGGGGCTAGCAGAATCGACCAAAGGTGAAATGAAATGAAATGAAATGTTTATTATTCTTAGCCCTAAAGCTACTTCCTATAGTTTATAATAGTGTCTTACTCCAGTAATAAACAAAAAAACAGTAATTCTAGATTCCCTTAAAATCATAGTAACTGCAACCACAGTAAATGCAACAATAACAAATGCGAGGTAATGACATACAGTTATCTTAACACAGAAAGTACATATATTATGCCATTTTATCTAGATACAATTGCTTAACCTTACGAATAAATATATTTACAGACGTCGCTTCTCTAATTTTTGTAGGTAATGCATTAAAAAGTCTCAAACCATCACTAAAAAGACATTTTTGCATATGGGATGTTCTAGCGAATTCTATGTCAAAAGTGTTACGTGACCTGATATTATATGCATGCCTCTCGGACCTCGGTATTAGATATTCCTGCAAGTATTCAGGCAATAAATGATTTTTTGTTTTAAAAATAAATAAGACATTTGACATTTCAACCTTTTGCTGTATTGAAAACCTTCCGAGGGTTTTTAACATTAAATTAATAGACGTATAACGTGTACAAAATAATATAGTGCGCATATCCTTATTTTGTAGTAACTGGAGCCTTTGAATATCAGTTTTTTTGCATGATAGCAACAATGAAAAACAATAATTAAAATGTGGATATATGATAGTATTATATACAAGAAGACGATTCCAGTGACTAAGACTTTCAGATATTCGCCTAAAAAATACTATTTTTTTCCCAATTTTTTTACTAACAGAATCAACATGCAATGAAAAATTTAGCTGAGGATCTAAAACTACGCCCAAATACTTCATACTAGATGCACTTTCAATTTGAATATTATCTATCTCAATACAAAATTTCTTTTCTAAAATTGTATTACAGTTCTGCTTTGCTCCAAAAACCATGTATTTTGTTTTTTCTACATTCAACTTAAGCCTATTCACACATAACCAGTTATACAGAATTTCCAGTATTGAGTTCATAGTATCTACAACTTGTCTAAAATCCTTACCGTACGCATAAAGCAATGTATCGTCTGCAAATAAGCTCAGAAATGTATTTACTAAAACCCTGTTCAAGTCATTTATATAAAGTAGGAACAAAAGCGGGCCCAACACGCTACCCTGAGGTACCCCAATTTCACTATCAATTGAATTTGACGCCACTTTATTAATCTTCGTCACATGACAACGGTCTTTCAAGTAGTTTATAAACCATTTTAGTGCACTGTCTGTAATCCCATAGGTCTGCAATTTCTGGATCAGTCTTTTCCTATCAATAGTCTCAAATGCACGTTGAAGGTCGATGAATACACTTAACACAATATTCCCGTCATGAATGTATGAACGCCATTTCGAACAGACATACTGCAGCGCCGACTCGCGCAGTGTTTTTCCCGAAATCCCGACTGTCCCTTAAACAGCAGTTTTCTTGCCTCCAGAAACTCCCGTAACTGCGCACAAACCACGGTTTCCAAGATTTTGTCTATCACTGGTAACAAGTTAATGGGTCGGTATTGTGCTGGTTTATTTGGTGAGGACACTTTTGGAATAGGCACTATAACACTAGTTTTTATTGCTTTTGGAGCTTTTCCTGTTGTAAGGTATGCATTGATCAAGTGAAGCAAAGGGTATCCGAGTACACAAAAAGCCGTTTTCAAAAACTTAACATTACAAATATCATCCGCTGTTGACTTGTTTTTAAGTTCCATTACCCTTTTTCTAAGTTGATCAATGCTTATAGTGATGAAGCTTGACAGACCATCACTTAACTGTGGCAATTCTTGATATGTCGGTTACGATGGGTTATAAGGACGAAGACGTTGCCAAAAAAATTGCAGAGCAAAACCATGAGCTACTAAAGGATCTTGAGCCACAAGCATTAACAAGCCATCAGAATATTGCAAAGAGTGCCATGCCGCTGTTCAAAAAATTGTTAAAGCAGAGTTAAATCAATTTCGATCTAGAGAAGAATATGTAGACTCCGAGTTACTCAACAGGGTAACTGGAAAGCAGCACAGATAACCCGCCGTTGTATCCGAACTGAGTGTATAATTCGGCAAAGAGCATCAAAGCAAGAGTCGTAAAAATCTCATTTCCATTCGTAGTTGCGTGCTTATGTCGGTCGTTTCACCGTAACACGTATTGGTTCGGTTTGGTACCTTTTGTCTGGCCATGCCGGCGATGCCGTGCTATACCGTGCCATGCCGCGCAACGCCTCACACGGCGACGACGCGGTTCCAGGAACTAAACGAATTTGCAGCAACCCTGCTATTAACGCGTCCGGTTGCGAATTCACAGTATGGCAAAAGTGGGACAGAGAATTTGATATGGCTGACAACGGAGGTCATTTCACTGGGGTATTATCCAACGAATTTTTACTTCCCACGACTACTGGCGAGGAAATATTGTATTCGCTAACATTTTAGAAAATGATATGTTTTTTAATGAACATAACGAATATCCATTTTCGAAGGTTTGTCTGTGGGCTCGCGGGTACGAATCTCCGCCTGTATGCTTAATTCCGAGCCATGGATGTTGTGTTGTGTGTTGTCTATATCAATCACTCACCTATGTATCTGAAGTCACTTGAAATAGCATAAAAACCTTTGGTCGGCGCGTCCTTTGTAATTTCATGACGTATCATAGGCGTGCGGTCATTTATTTAGAACGATAATAATAATGTTTTTATATCACAATAAATGGATTTTACTATCTTCTTATTTTTTTGATTTGGGATAAAAAATACTTATATTGGGAGTTTAATTTATGTTGACTGAAAGTTAAGAAATGGAAAAATTACAGAATTCCAACGTTTGACATATGCAAATATTTACATAGCAGGTAGGTATATAAAAAGGTATATAAAGACTTACATTATAGGTATTTATATATCATCCTCGCCTTCGGAGCTGTCGCTAGAGTCATCTTGTAGAGGAATTACATCGGGATTTACAGGAGGCAAAACACAATATTCATTTTCTTTTTCAATAATATGCCTAGAACACTGCTTCCGTAGGTCTGTGGCAGCAATATGAGATACTGCATCTCTTATTGTGGCCAATAGCGATTCACTTAATTGAGGGGTCTGATTATGTTTTCTTACTTTTTTTTTAAAGCAGCCCAGACCAACTCAATCGGGTTAAAAATGCAGTAATAGGGAGGTAGACGTAATAAATACTTCATGGCCATTTTGCTGAAGCAGATTGTCAACAACATACTCTTTTTCAAATTTTTGTCTTTTAATAAGATCCAATAATATGGCTTTGGTTGATTTTTGTGGTATTTCCATTCCCTTATCCTTCATAAAATCAATAATGTCTTGTTTTTTTGTGCCTGTATTCGGAATTTTGTTTTTCTGTCGGGAATGGTATTGCGCATTGTCCATAATAATCACTGAATTTGGGGAAATGTTTGGTATTAACTGCTGCTCTATCCACTTTTCAAATAAGTCGGAGGTCATGTCCTCATGATAGTCGGCACATGATTCTTTGATATTTTTGGCAGATAACAGCAAGGCATTAGGTATAAATCCATTTTCACTGCCAGCATGGAGAATAATGATTCGTTTTCCACGGTTGCATGGTGCATTTAAAATGCACTTGTTGCTGTCGTCAACCCAGCCGTACTGCACAACATCATGGGTATCATACCACGTTTCATCCAGGTAAATCAGATTTCTTTTCTGCTCTCTATAGATTTTAACTTTGTGCAAAAATTCTTGGCGCAATTCAACGATACGAGACGACTCGATAATTACCATTCTTTTATCTAATTTTTTGTATTGAAAACCACACAGTTTTACAATACAGTGCAGTGAGTCTAAGCATTTGTAATTATAAAAATCTTCAGGATAATCTTTTAATTTATCCCGTATCATTTCCAACGTGGGCACCAAATTTTCTTTATAAAATCCGTATATTATACGACGAATATCTTCCTGAAAACCCACGTCTATTCTTTTTAATTTTTGTCCTATGCGCTTTCTGTGGAAGGAATGGTTGACTACATCTCCCCTTTTTAAAACCCGATAAATGGTAGACCGACTGATTTTTGTCAGGATACAAATTCTGTTTAAAATTTGATTTTGCGAGGAATCTGGATTTTCGTTTTTCAGACAATCATACATATTTAGGATTACTCTTTGGGTCTGTTCCTCTAAATCTTTATGAAAGAATTCTGCCTGCACAGGTTCATCAACCATCTCCTCGTGGCTTGGAGCATTTTCCCAAGGTCTCCAAAGAGCCATATTTAGGACACACAAGAACAATCAACACAAAAATTAAATCAACAAGTAAACTGAGTATTCAAAAGTCAAAAACACACAAACTAATAAAATCTATGAAAAAACACGGACAGACTAAAGAAAACACGTTTATTCACCGCTACACGACACTGGCTAAACTGTTTCAATTTTCAGTAGCCACCTGCACTTGTTCGGAGCTCTGAAATACACGCTTTCTCATTGGCTATGTCCACGCATAGGCGTGCTTTACTCCACGTGGACCGGTGAAACTGCCTTTGATCTTATACGGGGGATATTTGCGGCGAAATCTGGCGATTTTTGCAGCAACAGAGCGTGTTAAATATAGATATATAAAACGCACCCGGTATTTCACAGTGTTCCAAGTGACTTCAGATACATCTCATCGCTTGAGCTAATTTATTATATCACATACCATACCAGTAGTTCAGAGGTGGTACTACGGGGTCGGCGAAAAGGGTCAAAGTGCCAATCGTCGCCACCCCACCACTACCACTAATGACGATCTGTCCGAAAATCCTTAGAGCGCCTATAACTTAGAAGGGTCTTCTCAGATTTGGATGAATTTTTCACGCAAGGTTACTACTGTGCCAAAGACGGAAAAGTGTTGTAGTTTTTGAAAATCAGTCAACTAGCGGCGGAGCTACGGGCAAAAAAACGAAAAACAAAATTCCTTTTTTTCTTTTTTATGCTTCAGAGCCTCCAGATCAGAAAATTGTAGTTGTGGGCGAGAGGTTTGTCGGTCGTATATTCATACGTTATTATAACGCACCTATTAGGGTACTATAAAAGTTTGACAATACAGCTTCATTTTTGCCTTCGTTCAAAGTAATTTCCACCACATTCACACTTCTTCATCCGCCAAAACCACACACACTCGTTGTCCCAAGCCCTCAGAAGGGCCTGATCGCTAGAAAGCCGTTTTTCTTTTAGCTTCATTTTCACATGCGAAACAGTGCAAAGTCGCAGGGATCAAGATCTGGTACGCTCAATAAATTTTCAGTCCAGTAGTGGTCAAATACTCGGTGCAGGCTTTGGCGCGGTGAACTGGAAAGTGGTCATGGTGGAGGTACCAAGTGTCCATTCTTGACTTTGGCCGCAGGTTTGTCATAGACTCTATGACTTTAGGCAGGCACTATTCCGTGTACCACTTCTTCTGTGTGTCCAAAACGACAGCCTCCACAATCCCAGTCGATTTGAAAAATACAGCTATTACTTTTTTCTTAACAGATCGGGATTTTCTGACAGCTACGGGTGTGTTTTCATCACCAAAGACCCAAACTTTGTTTTGAGCCTTGGTCGGCACATCGTAATAATAGAGCCAAGTCTCGTCACCTGTCACGATGCTGTTCACATACCGAGATTCCCCCGTATCAAACATTTTCAGCATCTTTCGGTACACCCGTCAAATATAGCTAGAGACTTGGTCTTCCCGATATTACGCTCCACCTCCGAGTGCACTAGACAGCACCAAAATTTCATCATTAGTATTTCGTGACAACTGGACGCAAGGTGTTGTACAGTCTGCGACAAAAACTATTCTGTTGAGTATCTTTTTCCTGTACTGGAAGGAAGTTGTTACTGATTTGAGTGTTTAAATAATTAACATGGATTTTCAATCAAGATTAAAAGGCAAAGTTTTGTCTGGACAAACGAAGGAGGTTATAGCGAATGTAATCTTTTTTATGCAGCAAGAAGCGATACAAAATCAGCCTATTAAGGATTTAAAAAAAGTACAGGAGCGCGCTGCCCTAGCTACGGGAGTAAGCTTAAGCACTATAAAACGGATCTCTCGTGAAATGAAAAATGTGGAAGAAGGTGGTGCTACGTCATTTTCGACGCCTAACAACAAACGAATGAAATGTGCCCCAAAATCAAACTTGGATGATCTTGACAGAAGTCTACTTCGCCGTATAATAATCAATTTTTATGTCACCGAAAAACGAGTCCCTACCTTGCGACACATAACACACAAACTTAGAGAAAACAATATTTATACAGGGTCACATGAAACTTTGAGAAAAGTGATGAGGGATATGGGATTTCGATGGAGGAAAACGAAGAATAACAGGAAAATCCTAATGGAAAAACCGTATATACAAGCGCTTCGGAGAAGTTTTCTCAGGAATATTAAACATTATAGGGAAGAAAATCGGCCCATAATTTACATGGATGAGACTTATATTCATTCTTCTCATACCCATGCCAAAAACTGGGGAGACAATACCATCGAAGGTTTCCACAAGCCAGTGTTCAAAGGGCCGAGGCTAATCATTGTTCATGCAGGCGGCGAAATGGGTTTCATAAACAACGCATGTTTACAATTCAAATCTGGTACTAAGTCCGGAGATTATCATAGCGAAATGAACTATAGTAATTATAAAAAGTGGATTCAGGAAAAACTTATTCCTAACATACCAGCCCGTAGTGTATTGATTATAGACAATGCACCGTATCACAATGTCCAACTACAAAAATGTCCCACAATGGGGTGT